CCGTGGGCTCCATGGAATCTGGCAAGTTGTCTGTGGGCTCAATGGGTGAGGATGGCTCGGACGATGAGAAAAGCTGGCCCACAGTTTCCCCGCAGCCTTCTGGCAAGTCGGAGATGTGCATTAGCCGTAGTCTTCCAGCCAACTGGCAAGACCAGGGCGTGGAGACGCTGAGCGCAGCCCGGCGGGGTCTGCAAGAGGTGTGTGCTTTCAGGCCAGGAGCGAGGGCTATGGAGCGGGACAACAGCACTGTCGCAGGTCGCCAGTCGACTCGTTCTGGTCGTCGTGTGCGCATTGCTTCGAAGGAGGTGGAGTTTGAGCTGACAGCAGAAGAGACAGACGTACAGCTTGCAGACGGAGTTGCGAGCCACAACTTGAGTTTGCCACCATTGGCACCAGCTGCCGCGCAGCGAAGCGAGCACGCTGTATGTCCTGACTTGGGCAGGGAAAGCGCATCAAGCTTGGATGCCACAGGTGACTCCAGTGGCTTAGGTGGAGGTGGCTCAGGTATCTCGGGTGGCTTTGGCGGCTCAAGTGGCTCAATTTGCTCAGGTGGCTCAATTTGCTCAGGTGGCTCGGGTGGCTCAGGTGGCTCAGGCAGCATCGAGCAGAAAGACCTGCAAGCCCAACATGCACGTTCATTTGGTACCGCAGGTGAACTTCCAGCCAGCAGCATTTTGCACAGAGACTGCACCAGCATGACTGGTGGCTCTGCTGGTGCTGATGGCTCTGGGGAAAGCAGCTTTGGTATCGGCCCTGTTGCTGCCGACTGTGTTGTCAGCGGCAATGGCTGTGACATTGGCACTGGCAGCAATTGTGACAATGCTAGATGCAGCATTGCTGGCAGCGGCAATGCAACTGCCGATGACGGTGGCTGCAGTGGTCGGGGCAACGGGGATGCCGGATTTGGCGGTGGGGATGATGATGGCATGGGTGCCGGCAGTGGAAGTGGCAAAGGTGGGGCTGGCATTGGCAAAGGCGACAAGAGTACCAATCAAGGTCTTACAGGCCACAACGGTGCCGCTAACAATGTACACGCCTCTACAGATGGCGTCTCTGCTCGTGCAGCAGGGGACGGGGACCAGATTGAACACAACTTCTTGCGATCTAAGGGTCAGCGCACCCGAAAAGACTTTCCGCAGGAGCCGCGCGACAGCATTTTCAGCTTTGGCATCTTGTCCAAGGGATCGGGCAAACTGTCCGTGGGCTCCATGGAATCTGGCAAGTTGTCTGTGGGCTCAATGGGTGAGGACGGCTCGGACGATGAGAAAAGCTGGCCCACAGTTTCCCCGCAGCCTTCTGGCAAGTCGGAGATGTGCATTAGCCGTAGTCTTCCAGCCAACTGGCAAGAGAACTTGGAGACTCTGAGCTCTACGAGGTGCACTGGGAATGGGATTTGTTGGGCTTGGGTTCCATGCCTTTAGGAAGTGGCGGCGAGGTTCATGCAATGGGAATTCCTATATAGTGGGCGTGGGTGCCCGTGGGAAGAATTTGCATAGCTTTGAGAGGCGTGTTTTGTCTTGCTCGTTTTTACCTGGAAGGTCGGGCCTTGCATTCAGGTCTCTACCTGGCTAAGTTGCAAAAGTCTCTGGAGCAGGTAGGGCATGGTTGGTCAAAGTGCTGGCCCTGATGGTGCAAATTTGAGGGACCAGAAGCAGAGCGGCATGATTTTCAGAGCACCATGGAGACAATTGTTATAACTGAGTGGCGTTTGTTTTGCCCGCTCAAGCAGAAATGTCTAGAGGTGGCATACAACAAAAGAAATCACCATACTGCAGGTGGTGCGGAAGGTTTTTCCCGCGGAAGCTCTTTCCAGAATGACTAGCACATCCCACACACGACTTCCCCGGAAGCTGCCTTCCTCAGCAACGTAGAAGCAGGCCCGAGGAAGGGTTTTCGCCCGTCAGACCTGTTAGCTTCGGAAGCTTCGGCCGGAACTGAGCCCATCGGTCGCAGGCCTGAGGTTCTCGTGCGGAGGTTTGCAGGCCTGCCTGAAGCGAAACTCGATCATCACCCGGGGGCCGTACAGTCGAGGAGACCCGGGCCCCCATACGGTTCTTGTGGATATAAGGGACGTAGATTGTGTGAGAAGGTCGACCTATTGATTTTCCAGCGCCACAGAATCAAATTGACATGATGGCGGAGCCCTTTGGTTCTCCGAGCATCAAACAGGGGCATCATGTTTGCTTCGCAAGAGTATACACACCTTCCTGAAATTAAGGCAAGTGTCCTTCCCCTTGTCATAATACCATCAAACGCCGGATATGTTTACAATACGCGCTGATTGTGATGGGGGTTTGTGGGAGAGGGCAGTATGCCACTCGCTGGTGTCAAGCAATCACAGCTTCCGAGTGCCCCGTCTGCCATAAATCACCCAGTTCCAACAGCCAAGCATCCAACAGGAATACAGGAGTTGTTGGATCTATTGTCAGCGGAGGGTATACGTCTCATGGTCGCGTAAAGGTTGTGCTCCGCACTGAGGAAAGTCTAGGTGCAATCCTACCTGTCAGCAAGTGAATTGGCATTGTGATGGATCAGGTATGTAGCAACGCAGAGAAACCGCCCGCACCCCCTCCACCTTCCCCGCTCAACCCTCTCCGCCCAAAAGCGAGGGACACGCGAAAACCGAGGCATCTCCTTGAGGCCTGCAGCAAAAGATCAGCTCCCTTTTCGCTCCCCTTGGCTGCTATCTTTCCATGATCATTGAGTCATTTTCTGTCAATTCTGCTGTATTTTTATACAATTGCGCCCACAGCAATCAAGAGTTGGGAACCCTGAAGTTAGAAATCGGTTTCAGTCGATGCCTTGTGTGAATCCACGGTGGTCCAAGATGTCCATGATCCTTGTATTGTGTATATATTGTGTTGGACCATCCCCTCGTCAGATCTTTGCAGCTGTCACCCCGAGTACAAAGCGGAAGGGTACGCAAATGCCACCAGGTGATGCCAGTCTGCCAGGGCCCGTGGCGCCTGAGGCACAAAGTCGGGTGCGAATGGTGCTGGTTCCGATTGCTCGATTTGTTGCTTGTTGCTAGTTGCTTGTTTGGTGGTTGTATTCCTGCGTTTGTTGTTTGTGTTGGTGTTTTCGTTGCTTTCCATGGACATCAAAATATGTCCGAGCTGTCGCGGTTGCATGCTTGGGGGTTGCATGCTTGTTACACTGGCTTGACTTGTCACGCCCGTGCCAACACTGGGTGTCCTCAGGCCTGAGGCTAATCAATCCATTAGCAACAAACGACGACGTGCATATACTTTGACATATCGCCAAACAGTGTCACACTGACAAAATGCATCGGGTACCGCTTCGCTTGCCGTGCATACGCCCAGCTGTTCAGTGGCACTCATGTTCCGGGTTTTTCCAACAGATTCCAGAATCAGAAGGAACGCGTTCTTTTCCCGCAGGTGGCAGGTGGCCAATGGACGAGGTAGTTGCATGCAACTATCTGCACTAACCGTGGCTGGCTCACCTTGCAAGGCGAGCTCATGATGAAGGTTTCTTGCTATCTTTCAGCTCAGGTTGGCACAACCTGGGCATGTGTCAAAATAGAGGACCTCCAAATATTTGTGGTTGTTCCTGTTGGTTTCTCTTTCAACCAACCAGAAAAGCGGACCCTGAAAAAAGCCCACTCCCTTGCTTTGTACCAGCAACATTAAGTTGAGCTTCGGATTCCTGACTTCAGCAAATTGTAACGAGTGAAGATGTTTGGTGTGAACCCCCCGTTCAAAAAAGCCGGCAGGACGGCAGGGCGATGGGACATGTTGCGGGATTTCTCCGGGGAAATCCCTCAAAAGAGTTTTCGAAGGGACGCTCTATGCTATTCGGATCGCGTAGGTCCGCCCAAGCTCTTTGCCCCTGACCATCTCACCCCTGCCGGCGAACCTGGCGAACCCGGCGTGCGAAGGCCGGCTTGCCGTGGTTTGCCGAGAGGAAAGGCAGATACCGCAAATGTGAATGTTATGATGCAGCAAACAAATACATGAACGTGGCAAGACGCACACACGCACACACACACACACATTTACGTTTGAACAATAGTATGTTGTGTGTGTGTGTTGTAAGGATGCACGCAGATACTACGTAATGCACACGTGCGTGCATAGGTGTTTTGCTGAAATGCTTTGTTGTTGTTTGTTATCATAATACGCATAGCTATGATTTGTCGTGACTTGTTGAGATCGCTCGTCCTGTTGGTTGTTACCTGAAGGCAAAGCAGACCGACATTTGTGGCCATGTAATTATCAGCCTCACGGAGCCTGTGTTTCTCACCTGAACCTTATTTTCCACATTTCGATCTTGCATACTGGAATGCAAGGTTTTGGGCACACCTCAGTGGCTTGCCAGGATTCCCTCACCCTCTTTTGGGATTTGAAGTCCACGCAGCACACTTGATCATGTTTCTTGGAACACCTAATGCGGTAGGTTTCTTGACTGTGCTTGCCATGTCAACGAACCTAACATTTGGGCTTGGTCCGCCGGTGAACCCGTGAAATGACGGCCTCTCTTGATTTTTACACCAAGCGCAGAGAGGGCTACAAAAACTTTCAAAAAGGCAGCCATGATCATTGGGAAAATCTACCTGTAAGTTGACCAATCAAAGCGAAAGACACAGCCGTGACCCAAACAGTGCGACTCGCAATCCTTGGAGGCTCGCGGCCTCGTGGCCTCTGACTGTGGCCTTTGTTTCTCGGGTTTCGAACCTCTTTCTGATTGGGATTTGTCTCCTGGCGCCAATGAGGAGCTTAGCTTGCTGACCTCATCTCTGAAGATGATAACTTACTTGTTTGATGTGTTTCTGGATAATCTGTGAATAGTGTAGAATTACATGACATGTGTCCTTTGGATGGTAGAATTTGCGGTCCTTCGGGCCCAAGTATGAAGGCTGAAACAAGTCGACACATTCCCCATCTACCCTAGCTGCTCTAGCTTCCGCCAGTTTCCCCCATCCCTACTTATTATGTGAGTATGTGCAAGAACATGAGCTGAGCTGTTTTGGGATGTTAGTCTTGACACATTGCAGCCACGTCATTTTTCGTAGGCGACCGGGCGTGCCGTGGCCTGCATTGAGACCTGAGAGGGGAGTTGCAGTGTATCGGCTTGAGCGTTGACAAATTCCCTTCTGGCCCTTTGGCGTTGAAAGACTTGCTGGTGCTCAGTAGAACCAGGGCTCCGGGAATGAGCCCAGGGATTCCCTTAAAGGAACCCATAGTGGATGGTTTATGGGGGTTATTCCAACTCATTCCCTGAGGACCAGCAAGAAGATAAATTTGCAAGCCACGGTGCTTTCAGAAGGGGGGCGGGGTCTACTGGGCGCAACCGACTTCATGAGACAGTCAACCCGAAACGTGCGCAAGCTTGTGGGTTGCGGTGCAAGTGTTTCAACAGCTGTCACTGTTGCTTGTGCTTGAAGCCTTGGGCAAGTTGGCCCAAATTTATTGGATTGGATGCTAAACGTACTTGTTTTTACAAAAGGAAACCCCAAATGAAGGGTATTTCAGCTTTCCAGACCTATTTTCGAGACCAGGCAAGTTGCTGGAGGTGTTGCAGGTTCAACCTGACGCTTTCTCCCACGTAGGAGGACAACAAACATGTCAGGACCCCTATCATTTGGATTTCGCCTTGCATTCACCCATTGCCATGTTGCTTTCCGCTTTGTTCTTCCGATAGACCTTGCCCCGAAAGCTGCACAGAGTCATGTCTAAGGCATTTTCCAGTGCACAGGACAAAGAAGCGGATGTCCGTCTTTGGGCCATTTGGGGCTGCGTCTTCGGGCCATTTGGGGCCAATTGGGGCCTGCCTTGCTTCGTTGGCAGGCCCGAAGCCTCAGGAAACCCAGCCCAATACCCCGAAGGGCAGTTTTGAGCAACACATACCCGTTCCTGTCATGAACGCAGTCCGATTCGCAGTGGGCTCAAGTCACTTGGTGTTTGCCTGACGATCATGGTGGATTCCAGGGACGCACGTGCAAAGGACAGACGTGCGCACAAAAAACCGCCCGTCACATCCCCTGCATGTTTGGCCAAGGGTCAGAAGAGCGGGTGTGGATTTGATCACCTCCAATGACTGTTTTCTGCTCCCCTTCCTCACTTTTCCCGCACCAGCCAGAGCAATCGGGTATAACGTAACCCGATGTTTGAGTGCCGATTTGCTTAGTTTTGACGGAGCCTCCTGCCAACACCAGCTTCGAGTCTCTATTTGAATCAGTATTTCTTGAGCTTTCTGCTGAAATGGGGTTTGAGATTCCGTTAGAGTTGCAGACTTGCAGGATTTGCCTACAGAAGCATAGCTTTACTTCAGAGCCTTGTCGGAAAGTTCTCAATGCATACGACAATCATGTGTTCGCATAGGTTTGTAAGCACAGACGAAGCTGTGAATATTGTGTTTCGGAAGTTCAAGCACATGCCTTCGTCCAAACTCAAATGTCCTTACTTATTTAACAGCAACAGAAGAAACAACAAACAGGAAGATGCAGGCCCGCAGCCAGAAGAGCATCGGATTATGTAGTCAAGGTAAGGGTAAGGGTATGTTCCAACTGGTCTTGAGCGCAAATTGGGTTGTCTCCAAAGGACGCCAAGTGCATGTCTTCCATTTGGTTTCCGTCAAAGACCTCCTATTAATGGGTACCCTCCAAAACATGGCACACCCGTATGTCACTGTTAGCCAAAAAGTCAAGGGCCCTTTTGGATCGCGTGTTTGTCAGGAGCTTGCCAAGCACAAGGCGGAGTTGGAGCGATTTCTTGCAAGAGTCGCTCAACATCCGAAGCTGCGGCGTTCGTTGGCAGGATTGTTCAATTTTGATACCCACTCCTTATGCCATAAATATTTGAATTCGCCAGCCCGCCATTTTGCGCCCAATTTTTGGCCACGATTATTTCATCCATGTTCAGCGAGTTCTACCCAACTCCTTTGGGTTGAGTTTTGCACCCAACATGCTAGACCCCAACAAGGCTAAGCTAGCATCTGATGTTGAAAGCGGCGCAAGTGTTTGAGTAGCATGTTCGAAGCGCATCCACCATCATCAACCTTATCAAAGGCGGTCAGGCTTTCAAGTCTAATATGGCCTGGGCTGGGAACTTGTCTGCCAGTTGGCAAGTTGTTGATTGTCGACCGATGAGAGGGGCATGAAGAAAACCGCGTTCGCTGGCGCATCCGAGGAAAGCATTTGAGCAGTGCATTTTCACGGTGCGTCACATCTGCTTCGACGACTTGAGCGAGAATGAGCGGGAGGAGGTGCCACCGACCTCGTCCTGCACACTGCTCAGCGAGGCTCCGCAGGTGAATGCGTCCAAGACTTGTCAGCTGAGGCTGTGAGGCTGGAGCAGTACCTTGACACTGGGCTCGAAGTTGAGGCGAAATGGAGTTTCGACCAACTTCCGGTCTCCGGCATGCCTGAAGTGAGATCGATTGTAGACCCACGCTCTGAGTCGATTTCGTGCTTCAGGCACTGCCAATCATATCCAGAGCATCCAGTTCGTGATATTGTCAACATAGCTGTCAAGCGGGCAACCCTCCAAACCCCTCCTGCAACCAGATGCTGTGGACGATTTGAGATTTATGAGGAGCCTGTTTAGGACGTTGTATGCCTCTGTGCCATGGCAGAGGCGTCCACCGTCGGAGCTTTTACTTCATGCTCAGAGCAGACGCGCAACTCGCGTTTTCAGCCGACGAGAGAACTCCATGCACCTGAACAGACCCAAGCCAAAATGGTTAGCCATCGACAGTCCCATGGAGGTCGGCTGGGTGTTCGGCTCGTGTCGAACACGCCAGATCCTTTGCATCAACACTGACTATGGACTACACTAGGTCTTAGTCTTTTAACCTTACACCTACCAGTTGTGAGCCCAAGACTTGCTCGTAACCAAAGCTACTCCAATTTTGAGCCAACCAAACACCCACCCTGACTAACCTTTAAACAGTGTAACCGGTCTAGGTCATCACTCCGACCGAAGCAAAGCAAGTCGACTGGCCTGAAACCAGCCCTGCAACGCGAGTCATACAGCTCATGCCAGCGTAGGCTGATCAGCCCAACATAAATCCAATCAATGCGACAAGTTTCGTTGCTGCAAGCCTTTTAAAAGCAAAAAAGCTCAAGCAGCGCTTTACTCACCTTCAACCCCAACCCTTGGTTGAAACATCCATGAAACATCTAGGATTGAACCCTTGGCAGGGCCGCACCCATTTTATTGTGAGCACTTCGCGTTGCTCGCCTCAGCCACTATGGTTTTGACTGGCTTTGAGGTACTGTGTTTTGGTTTGCCTTGAGGTGTGGTGTGTGTTTGAGTGAGTGAGTCGGCGCCGACATGCGGGATAGAGGGTGGGTGCATGTTTGCGCGTTTCCACATGGCTTCAACGAGAGCTCCGGAGAGCTCCGGAGAGTTGCGAGTTACGGAGCGAAGCCTGGGCGCCTGGGCTGAGGAGCTACGACGAGAACAAATTGGTTGGGGCTGACCTTCTAGGGGATTCGACGGGTTTCTAGAGGGGAATTTGGCGGAACTTGACGATTTAAGTTGGACCGGTTTTTTTGAGGGCATTGCATTGGCTTCTAGAGGGGAGATTGAACTTGATCGGATTTGACCGCTGGACTGCTTTTTGAGGGATTGTGTTGGTCCGGGGGGACTATCCATTGTTCGCCAGCACCAATGCATGAGAAACACATACTATGTTGCAAAACATAAGACACAAACATATGGCAGCAGTAAGAACTCATCGCATCGACCAGCTGTTGAAGGGCAAGTGAGGTGCTTGGCTTGGCGGCGCGTGGCATTGCGTTAGTTTTAGCGCCAGCACAATCGTCGGCTGCCCGAGCTTAGTTTCCAATTGTTGCCGCGTTGCTGGGGGCAGAGGCTCACATGCTCAGCTGTAGCGTGTTGTGTTCGGGAGGATTTATTGATGTGCCCTTTTGCGCTATGTCTTTGCGAGTGTTGCTGTTGCATGTTGGTTTGTTTCGGGAAGTGGCTGGCTAAAGATCAAAAGGCCATGATGATGAGATAGATCGAACACAATGGCGTAGGGAGGGCATTGCACGTCGCTACACATGGAGGTCTTGGAAGGCAAAATCCCTGGCAGCAATTAGCAAACCTTCCTGCCTTTGGGACGATTGTTGCGCTAGAATCAATCTGAGCCGTTGGATCATACCGCTGATGATCTTCAAGTGTGCCGTGTGGGCCTTTGGTTTGTTTTCGGCGAGCTGGTTGCCCAGACGCCCAGCAACTCAGCAACCGTTTCAGACGCGGCGCGTTTGGCATCGCTTATCGCATCGGCGTCCGGGCCTGCAAGCAGCTTCCGGACGATCATGTTCAGAGCGCGTTGTGGAGCAGCGTGCTACAGCTCGTATGTTTCTGGTGCCGAGGTATGGGCTTCATCCTGACCCAGGTTTTGTTTCCAGGTAACTCCCTCCAGTTGAACCGCACTGTGTGGTAGGCAACCATTCAGGTTTCTTCTTGAGGTGACCACGACGATCCCGCAAGGTGTTGCGACCAAGCAACAAGTGAATGGTGCAAGCATTTCTCAGGATGGAGCTCAAATCCCCAGAGTTCGGGGTTGCATCGTTCGTGAACGAAATTGGCACTGGTAGAAAAATCCAGCAAACCTTTATGCTTTCCTCTCCATGAGCCTCTAGCTAGATGCTCAGAGTTTCCGGATGGCTCGTTGTCCGCATAGCCCCGTGGCGCGTTTTTTCCGCCGGCCTTTCGGGGGTGCATGGCTCAGCTGTTTGGCGGCCACAGCCTGTTTTCCCTGCCCAAGAGAACACTCGAATTCCATGCTGAATGAATCTTTAAAAACTGTGTCAAGCAATCTGAATCAATGTATTCATCAAGTTGCTTAACATTTGTTAGCCCTTTGTTATTTCCCTTGCTGGTTTTAAAGGAAATCTATCACTACTGTTTTTTTTTTCCATGGGGCTTAAGCAAATGGAAGTATTTGCTTGGTTTCCGCCGGGCCAATTCAACGTTGGCATGGCTAATCTCCCCTGGGATCGTGTAGCGCTGTTGGTCCCCTGGAGCCGACTGAGACTCGCTAGGGACCTCGCCAGCAAAACCCTCGCTTCTGATGAACGCCCCTGTTTTTGGGGGATACCTTAGCTCAGATTGTGAACTATTGACCGGATCCCTTCATCCGTTACTGATGTATCGATTCCCTTTTGGGGATCCGCTATTCAGATGGGTGAGTGATTGACCCTTTTTGGGGCATCCCGTGTAAATTTAGGTTGGTAAGAATTTATCGACCGACCCCTTCATGGGATTCTTTTTTTGTTTTGTTTCTGGACCCTTGTGTCCCCATTTTGTGGACCATTCTCGCAGGCTGAGGACCAGCCAGACCAAGCCTCCTTGTTGAACTGCACCGCCAAAAGCCTCGTTTCTGAAGGTTGGGCGTGAAGAGTGCGAGAGAAAGAGGCTGAAGAGCAACTCCCGCTGCTGAGCTCAAGTCGAGGTTGTGGGTGAAGATGCTAGGGTTGGTATTGCCACGACTTAGTCTCAGATTCCCAGTATTTAATTTGGAATTGCCAATTCCAAATTTTCAGTATTGCCAGTTCCAAATTTGAAAATATTGCCACGACGTACTCTCAGATTTCCAGTACTGAATGTGGAATCGCCAATTCTAAATTAACTATTGCCACGACTACTCTCAGATTCCCAGTATTTAATTTGGAATTGCCAATTCTAAATTGAGTACTTTCAGATTCGCAGTACTCTCAGATTCCCAGCACTTAATAATTTGGAATTGCCAATTCTAAATTGAGTACTTTCAGATTCGCAGTACTCTCAGATTCCCAGCATTAATAATTTGGAATTGCCAATTCTACATTGAGTATTGCAAAGACTTACTTTCAGATTCCCAGTATTTCATTTGGAATTGCCAGTTTGCCAGTTCTATATTGAGTACTTTCAGATTCGCAGTACTTTCAGATTCCAGGTACTTGATTCGGAATTGCCAATGCTAAATTGAGTATTGCCACGGTTTACTCTCAGATTTCTTGTACTTAATTTGGAGTTGCCAATTCCAAATTGAGTATTGCCACGACTTATTCTCGGATTCCGAGTACTGCATTTTGGAATTGGCAATTCCAAATTGAGTATTGCCACGACTTACTCTCGAATTCCGAGTACTGCACTTTGGAATTGGCAATTCTTAGTTGAGTATTGCCACGACTTCCTCTCAGAGTCCCAGAACTTGATTTGGAATTGCCAATTGTAGATTGAGGTCCAAACCGTAAGGTTCTCCGAGGAATGAGCGTCAACAAACCACTCGCCAATCCGCATGTGTGTGTTTGACCTGTGATATACAGTACTTTCAGCACATGTGACTGCCTGCGGACTTACACCGTGGAAGTTCGCGTCAATCTGCATGCACGCAAGAGGCCGGGATCAGTTGCAATGGACACGGCTTCCTCAGATTCCCAGTACTTACTTTGGAATTGCCAGTTCTAACATGAGTATCGCCACAGTTCTCAAATCCCAAGTACTTGATTTAGAGTTTCCATTGTTACTTTGAGCATTGCCAAGACTTACTCTCAGATCCCAAGTACTTAGTTTAGAGTTTCCATTCTTACTTTGAGCATTGCCGAGATTCCCAGTGCTCAAGTAAGCCACCCTTTAAAAGCGTTAAAAGTAAAGGCTAACGAATTGATTTTGGCACCTCACACCCACACAAAACAAGTTTAGCTGTAAAGCGACACTCGAAACAGGCCAATTAAAGGGGATCAGGGGTCTTGTGGGTACCCCCTTTGCGCGACCGGTTGGCTTTTTGTTGGGCTTGAATAGACCACCCAATTTAAAAAGAAAAAAGGTAAGGCTTTGGTCTTGGAATTTCACCTCCAAAAGAGTTTGACATTAAAGCGACCCTCTAAAAAGTCATATTAAAACGGATCAGGGGCTCGCTTGGGGCAATTACGCGACTCTGTGGCCCTGCCTGTAACGTATTTGTTTCATAAAGCAAACGATGGCTTGGAGACTACTTTAAAAACAAAAACTGGTTATAAGTTAAGTAAGGCTTTCATCTGGCATTGTTTCTCTAATTATGCTCTGTTTTTCCTGCAAAACCAGCTACTATTAAAGCCAACCTCGAAACAGTCACATGAATCTGAATTAGGAAGGCAACATTTTTTAAATATAAAAGCGACCCCAAATATGGAAAGCAGGTCGGGGATGAATTGTGATGATACGTACTACGCCGCTTCCTTAGACGAGTTAAGCAACAAGCACAAGTCTGCAGCTTCAGACGGGAAGGGCTTCCAGGTTTTGTCAGGCCTCTGGTCTCTCCGTCCCTCCCCCGAAGCGAGTTGTCGCTGGCGTTGCATTTAAATCCAATGCGAATGAGCTGTTCCCTGAGGGGGCTCCCCAAAAAAGTTAGACAGGGCCCCGTGGCTTCCCAAAATCAGGAGCTCCAAAGGACCAGTTTCATGGTTTCAAAGCGTCACCCCCACTGGCACCTGACGGCTCAGAGGACACCGATGTTCCAGGTTTTTTCGCAGGTGCTATGTTAGTGAAAGGGAGGGTAGCCCAACCACACCTTGGTTCCACCTTGGCAACTCGGGGCAAGCGAAAAAGACACCGCCGAAGCGGCTGCATTGTTTTTTGGCCCGAAAGCTAAGGCGTGAGCACACCGAAGCGCAGGTGCGGGAGCCGGCTGCGCATGGGGTTGGCCTAGTTTGAGACGACCCATTGGAGGTTGGGGATTGGTTGGAAGCTGGAAATGATGAACACCCAAGTTGGTTATTGCACATGTCACATGGTTTTCCTTGTTGCGGCGGTCATTGTTTTTGCATCACGGTTACTTCTGCATTGCTGCGCCATGTTCTGTTCAACTGTTGTTCATGACTGCCTTGTTGCCGGGATTCAACTCCGCCATATGCAAACATTCGCAACTCTTCAAGTGGCTGGAATCTCCGCACGACTTCTGGCATGATCACCGGCTTCCAGACTTTGGTGCGATTGTAGCCAAATTGTGATGTCGAACTCAAACAGTACGGTTCACAAGCCATGTTTCTGGCCAGAACGTTGAGAGACTTTGAGAAATCGGCCAGAACGTTGGGAGTGGTCTAACCCAGATCACCCCGCCAGCTGCAAATCACTTTGGGGGAATCAAATGACTGGAGCCTTGTCTCCGGCAGGATGGAAGTAGCCGGCCTCGTGCGGCATCTGATCCAGATCGCCGAGGCACGGAAAGCTCGCTTGAAGGAAAGCTGACAAGATTCAAGGAAGGTGGCACCATCGAAGACCCGCACTAAGAGCACGACACCATTTTGGTCGGTTGACTTTCGTGGTTCGTAACCCCATTGAGCTGTTGTATTTAGTACCACCACCCCAACAACACCGCCACCACCACCACCACCACTGCCACCCCCACATCCGCCACCACCTCCACTTTCCAAGCAAAGGCAGCAAGAGGATTCAAGAAGATCAATAGAGCTGCGTCAATGCTTGTAAGACAAACCCAGCTGGCCAACCGGAGAGAGGAAGCTTTCGGTAGGCCCAGCAGCGCCAGTGGACCGCCGCCACAGCGATATTCTGCCTTTGCGTGACCCAGCCTATGGCAACGTGGCGTGCCTTGGTTCCAGACGCATCCAACACACATTTTGATGCGTCAAAAAATTCCAAATGATTCCTTTGGCTCCCTTTGAGACAACAAAAAGCGGAGTGCCATCAAAAAAGAGCGTGCTCGTGGGGTACGACTTTCAGTGGATGAGAATATGCTAGACAACCATCATTAAGGCAATGCCCCGAAAGCAGCGACTCTTAGTGAAGTGGGGTGGGCACTGCACCTGCCAAGTATATTGATGTCAAGCCTCTTTGAAACGCTCGAAGCTAACAAGTGTCATGAGTGGAAAACAGTGGCAATGTTGGATTGCGATACGTCTACGAGGACCCAGACTTCCAGTGGTTCCCGTGGTTCGTTTTTGCAGGGGGGTACTAGTCCCTCACTGGGCTGGACATGGAGTGGAAGAGGGACACAAAGGAGAGCCTTTGTCAGACGGCCGTGGGCATAGCAACCTCGCAACGGGGTTTGTGAGCTAGCAGTTCCCTTCTGCGGAACCCTCACACACACACACACATTCCGTGCTGTTTTTGTTTGAAGGATAATGCTTTGCAGGGATGAAACTACATCCAGTGCGGGAGGGATTCCCATGCAGTTCCATGTTGATGGGAGAGTATGATTTTCAGGCACACTAGGAACCAAGGGATTGATACACCCCTGGATGTTCCATAGGAAGGTGTCCCATTTTAAAGAATTATCTTGTTAGAATGTCTATGTAGCATTACGATTACCGGATTCCAACAAGTTTCTAGTTACTTGGGGAAAGAGCCCGATGATTAATTCCTTCCGGATTCTAACAAGATAGTACTTATTGGGGTAAAAAACGGTTATTAATTCATCAGCTTGATGAAATCAGTTCCCGGTAAGCGATATCAAGCGTCCCATGAGGCAGAAGGTCGCCGTCTACGAGGCGTTCCGACAGATCTGTACGTGCAGCCCTCAGCCAATGTTTGTTTCGAGAAGCCTAAACAGACGCTTGTTGGTTGGTATGTGTCTTTGTTTGGATATGGAGTAGGAGAAAGAGAAAAGGGAAAGACCAAGGAAGACAAAGAGGAAGGGAAACCGAAACATCTAGGGACAGTCAAGCAGAAATGAAGGGAGAAGAAGGAGAAAGAACAAAGAGAAGCAAAGGAGACATATAAGCGGGAGAGAGCGAGAAAAGGAAAGGAGATCGAACAAAAAGAGCGAGATAGAAAGAGAGAGAGAGAGAGAGTAAAGCGAAGAAAACAAAAGGAGAACGAGCAAAGACTGAGAGAGGGAGGAGGAAAGATAAATATAAGGAGTAAGGGACAAAACAAATGGAGCAAGGACAGAAAGGGAGAGAGAGAGAGAGAGACAGAGAGAAAGTGATAAAATCATAATATGGCTGCGAGTCAATTTATAAGGTCCGGAACAGGGTCCGGAACCCACATGCGATCCAGACCTCCGTTCCAGACCTTGCCTAGGAACTTGATCCAGACCTTCCGTTCCAGAACTTGTTTATATATTTACGTCTAGTTTAGAGTATGGATTCAGACGGTCAGGTGATTTGGTAGGTTATTGGCTCCCCTCTTGTTTTGCCAAATAATACGGGTTAAAGCTGGTGTTCGAGAGAAGCCTGAGGTGCTAGCGATGGGTTTTGCTTGTCGAGCTTTGGTGGTTAGGGCTGGGCAACGGTCCTGTTGACAGATGTGTTTTTGGAACGGCCTGTCAATGTTAAGGGTCAACCCCGCCGCAATCTGTTGGATACGATACGGTAACGGTTCGATACCGCTCTCGGCTGCCACATTGTTGAAACGACCATGTTTACACGCTGCTTGCTAGCATTCCCAAGCGCAACACTCGCGTAACCGTTCCAGACCCCGTTCCAGACCCGTTCCAGACGTGTTCCAGACGCAGCGGAGAAATTTGCCACCAAGTCCACATGCACACACACACACACACACATGTCCCATGTAAGTAGCTGCGCTTCTTACGCGGCCCGCCATGCCGCGCGCGCCGCTGGTCGCTTCATCCATCCATCTACCCATCCATTCATCCATCCATCTATCCATCTTACACGAAATGAAAGTGTGCTTGAGGACTCCACACGTGTCTTCCCAGAGGTCCGGAACAACCAACATTACGTAACTGACTCGTTCCAGACGTCCGCGTCACCGCGGAACGTTCCACGCCAGAATATTGACCCACACCCATATGGAAATAAACCAGGGAGGGAGACAAAGAACGAGAAAGAGGAACTTTTACCACTGTTTTCGCCGGCTTTACTGGCATTGTCACAAGCTTGGCAACTTCAAGAGTGCACTCAAGACTCAAGACCATCTTTGCATCCTCGATATTGCAAGCAACCTCATCCCCGTTCGCCAGAATGAGCATCAGCATCAGTGCAGCCTTCTTTTTTGGCTGCCGGAAGTCCGAAGCAAGGCGCAAGCGGAGCGGCCATGTGTGTGTGTGTGTGTGAGTTGCTAACTTTCGCGGCCACAAGCCGGGATTGCAAGCCACAGGCACGGCAAGTCATATGGCCTTTCGGAACCCTCACTCTGAAAGCTGAGAGGTCCTCGGCTAGTTGACCTAGCCAGGATCTTGAGGCTTTTCAAGAGGATTTTGTTTTCATGTTACATCTGGTAGTCTTCGCAGTTTGTAGATCCAAAGGTTGTGTTTAGGTTGTGGATGCCTTAATCCCTTAAACACCGAAGGTGATGTGTAGATACTTGCGTGGTGGTTCGTGCATCTGAACATTTCTGCCTTTCGAGGCTTTCCAAGACATCCTTCGACGAAGGGGCTGGCGCCGCGGGAGGAGAGTGCTCACGGTGCTCAAGTTGGAAAGGGGGTTTACAAATCTTGTCTGCTGGCTAATAAGAGTATGAAAGGGAACAACTGTGCAACTGGATGTTTTGGTGTCTATACGTGTTCGATGCGTTCTTTCCCTACCTTCCAATTCATTTTGGCCGCCAACAGGTGTCGACCACCGGAAAGGAGGGCATTTTTCCAATTGTATGGATCATCAGTGTCACGCTTTTCACTGCTTGCAAGTAATTTGAGCGTGAGTCGCATCCCTTCATCAAAAGCACCATCAGCTCCAGCTTCACCCCTTCGCAGCAAACACCCCTGAGCCTGGATGCGTCCCGCAAGTCAGCAACACCGCTGCGTTTGGCTGTTTGAGACCAAGGCCCTGACCATGATGTTTGCTGGCATCCGTTTCAGTTCCCCACACAAAGTGAACAACAGAAATGGGCCACCGCATGTGCTGGAAGTCTTTTGCCCAGCACGTGAGCTTTATCCCCCTAGAAAAGAAATCTGAGCCTCTGCTCATCATGTCCCCCTGCCCGAAAGGTTCTCTGAACCTTTCCTGTGGGGGGGTCTCCTGCTTTTCTTCCCCTCTGTGCAATCAAAGCTGGCCCCCCTTTCCGCAGTTTCTGGAAAGAGGGAGATTTCTAGGGGTTGATTCCCCATGCCTTTCAACCATCATTCTTTCCAAAAACTGGATCCATTTTTTCCCTGGGTTTCCGGAGGTGTTCGAAGGAGGATCTTTGTAGAGAATGGAAATGGAAGGTACCCTCGAAGATTGGGGCTCAGGAGATCTGCCTTGCCGCGCTGGCACTGGGGGCACGGCCGGCCCAGCCAGCCCCGCGCGATATCGATGCAGCGGAAGCGGGGAGAGTCGAGTGCACCTTGGGCTGCAGACCTCCGAGCCCGCAAAACACCTGGCTTTAGAAGGCGGCTTTGCTACCTTGGGATTCATGTGCTGGTTGTGACAGTTGGGGTGGTTGCGCTTTGCTTGTGGTGATGCATTGCTTTTGCTGGTTCATCGCTTGTGATGCTGCTTTGTGGTGCTAGTGCTGGTGCTGGCGATGATGTGGTTGCTGCGCTCATTTATAGGCCTCGGCAGCAGCAGCCGCAGCCAAAAACTGCCAAAGCTGCCGAGTCGTGGTTGCCATTGTTCTTGTTGCGGAGGCTAACCCGGTTCTATCCGATTCCCTGTGGGTATGAAGTTTATGCCCAGCTAAAGTAGTTCTTTCACTTGTCAACCTCCAGCAGGTCTCGGGAGAATCATGCAAAATCCCACAAGCTTTGCCACCAGGATATGCGGACATGGAGTGTTCAGACCCTGTGCCCCTCTAAAAATGCTGTGTGTTTGTGTCTTCTTCATTTCTGGTTTCAGGAAACCCCGAGGTGGTTTGAAACCCCACAAAAGTCCAAACAGACTCGGGTAAAAAAGCAGAGCCAAACATCTACAAAGTTGTGTGTGTGTGCGCGTGTCTGTTGTGTTTGGTGTTATTTGGAAACCTGAGTTGTGTGGGTTCCCAATCGCAGGACCCATGGCGATCCCTTATACACTGTACTCACACATACACTGACAAAGGTCCACCAACAAACATGGAATACATGCCCCTTTTGGCAGACGATGTTCCTCTTAGAACTGGAACCTATGCACTTTCATGTTGTTTGGGGAGGTTGTAGTAAGACATGGTTTGAGACGCAGGAGGCGTGCGGTCGCTTCGTTTTGTGTCCAGAGGCCGGAGCGGCGGGACTTGAGCCCCGCCTCACCGCTTCTCAGCAGCTGCCCCAGTGCCTTGGCTGGGAAAACGTTCGGTCGATTCAGTCTATGGCACAAGGATCTAGGGCGCCTATCCAAATTTCTCACAAACAGGGGACTCATAGCGGGCGTATCAACTGCTGTGGCACATATTGTGTCTCAAAATAGGGAGCCCTGCGTTGAATGGTTTGAAGGGTAAAAGAGGAATCCAACCCCTTGGAGGAGTCCCTACTGTTGAGACGTCCCCTTTTTCTTCTTGGGTTGATTCAAACAACCTGTTGATGTTGCTGGGGTGATCCTTGAAGGGAGAAACCCTTCAATATGTCATTTACTTGAGATACATGTTGGATGTTGCTGGCGCCAACAGTAAACAATAGGGAGAAAAGAAAGCAACACCAGCAAGAGCGCAAAGAAGACAAAACCACACGACAGAGAAAGCGCAAGTAAAGAGGCGAGAAACAGCAAGAGAGCCTCGAAGAAGAAGAGGTGAAAGAAAAAGCGATGCAGAAGGAGACGCACAGAGAGAAAGAAATGAAGCGGAAAAAACAAGAGAGTGCAAAAGAGCTATAGTGCTTATATGGCCGTGGGTCAAAACCAATGGTACCATTTTGGAGTAGGTGCACCACCCAGTTTAGTCAATTTCAGTGGGGATTTGGATGTTCACTGGGGGCACGGGCTTTTGACCCATGGCCATATGTTTGAAAAATCCGCCAAGTTGCGTTTAACCATGTCCTTTCGGCTTTGGCGATCGGATGGATTCCGTGGAAGTTTGGGCATTGCGCTTGACATCAAAAGGCCTCGCAGATGATGATCATATTTCAGGAAGAGCTATTGGATTACTACTACTGCTATTACTACTGCTAATGCTACGACGACAACGACGACGCCTACTGCTACTACTACTACTACTACTACTACTACTACTACTACTACTACTAGTACTACTACTACTACTACCACCCTGCAAATGAACATGGAAAGCAAAACGGGCTCATAAGGGCTCCCCCCAGAGGAGATTCCTGTGAGGATTGTTTTGGGATCCATGTCAATTCAATTTACAGGGAGTAAGTAGCATTTCCTTCTGGGGTGCCACTCGCCGCCATGAAAGGCAAGCCCAGGAAGCCACCAATTGGAAACCAATATTGGCAGCCTGTGTAGCCTGGGATAAGACATTGAGCCGCTTCTTCCTGAGCGGAGCCTTTTGCCAAGCCCAAAAACCACCCTAAAATTAGCCAAAGTAGCCAAGTAAGCCCCTTGAGGTGATGGGAAGGATGGGATGAGTTTGGAGTTTGCCCCAGGCCCAGAGCCACGGTCCAAGCAGTGGATTTTGCAGCGCCTGGTGGATGCGGGGGCCCTGCCGCTTCAGGAGCCGGACAAGTTTGTATTTTTTGGATCTGGTCGGTATGGGAGCCTCAGAATCGGTTCCTTTTCCCTTGCGGCCAGAGGGTATCCTCAAACAAAGCAACATGTGAATCGGAATGACTGGCACTAGTACAGTACTCGATCTAGGTTAGATGATTGGCCGCAAATGGCTATGAAGGTTACTTTAGACCCCCCTGAAAAAGTGGTTGGCAGACATGAATCCCAACCTCAATTGTGTTCACCAAAGCATTCCCACTGGAAATTGATACCCACATAGTATTGTCTGGCGCTGGTCCGGAATGTAGGTCCCAAAGACAAGAGGCTTTTGTTCACTCGCACAGGAGGTCTTCAGGGGCACCCCTGAAATCCTTGTTGTGTTTGGGGCTTCCATTCAATCTAGCTTTTCCTGCTACAAATGGCCAGCCCCAAGAAGAATTGTTCCGTGGAACAAGCTTCGAATCAGACTGTACATCCACAAAGGAGATTGTCTGGAAAAAGTTTCATAGCTTCAAGGTTCTAGCGTCCGGGTCTCTGGCTGCAAAAAGCTGTGTGTTTCTGCAGGAGGAGGACAAGTTCTTGCAGAGTCTTGGACGTGGGCGCCCCAGATAATGTCATATCATGTTGCAGTTGATGGTTCACTATGGACCAGAATCAAACAAAGCACTTGGGTGCGAAAGGGGAGGTACTTTTGAGCAAAAGCAGAGAGCTTTGGTTGCCGGGAGAGATTCCAGGAAGCTTGTGCGATCATGGAGGGGTGATGCTGACTTCGTAGCCATGTCCTAGAGACGGAATTTTCGTGCCAAGCATCCGGTCCTGTTGTCATCAAGCATAGAATGTACACAATTGAGACTGGATGCATCATGCATTCATGCCTGTGTTTGCGCTACATATGTGGCCAAACTTCATAGACACCTCTTGAGCAGCAGGACGACCTGCGAGCTGTATGTATGGCTGCACTCGGCTTGATGATCTTGATGTCACCTTTTTTATCCACGGAAGGTGAACAGTCGCCCAGGGTGACTTTGGCAAAAGAACTCCACAATGTACCAAGTACCTCTCATCGTGTAAGTGATATATGTATTTGTTCCATGTGCGTCCTGTGGCTCGAGCGAAGTTTGTGGCAAGCCGTCCCCCTGCCGCCATGATTCATGCCTCCCGGCGCAAGGGATGCCCGTGCCGAAAAGCCGAGTCAAAGCTAAGGTTTTGGAGCAAGAAATGGGATGGGTGCTTGGAACAGGCATTGAGTTGTATACAGGGTTCCTTCAGGGAAACCCTGGGCTTATGACTTTAGTGACTGGGGAACGTAGGGACGGATTGAAACGTGGCTTCTAGGCGCGCGTGTGCAGCCATAGGGGCGAAGGTCTGATATTTGCATGAGCCCTTCTTAGTGGGCCTTCATGTAGCTTCTAATTCGACTTCAAACAGGGCATGTCCGGACAAAATGCAAACGTCTTCTTTCAGACAACCTGGCACACGTATTTGAGGTCACACAATTTGGCTGAAGCAAACCATTGTTTGGTACTTCTGCAAAATGTCAATGTTGGCATGCATCTTCTGAAGCTGTTTGCCGAATTCTACCAAACCGTCATTATCGCAGTTTCATAAAACGGTAAGATGGCAATTCCCCCAATGCATTGGCCCAATGTGGCAAGTCTATACACAAGACGGTGAGCGTGGAATACTGTGAAATTGCAAAACAATGCATGCATCATGTAGCAAAGTGAATTTCGGTCTGGCCTACGCACAGTGAACAAGCAACGACAACTACGAAGCGAGGAAACCAGGTAAAGCCGTTGTACGTCTTGTTTGTTTAATCAACATAAAATATTGAACCGGGACCAAGTGAGTGCAATCAAAGAATTGGAACTGGTATCAAAGATAAACCGGGCAGGACGGAGTTACAAAAACAGATGAAGGACTAGAAGCGTATAAGCACAGCTGTACAAGAATAGTAGAGGAAGATTAGGCAGTTGAATGTCCTTGTCTGTTTGACACGTGACATCCAGACACTTGGAGATGGCGCTTCGGTTTGGATGATTAGCTCTCTTGCAAGGTTTTGTTTGGAACTGCCATAGGGTCGATACTCACAAATATTTCCGACAGTGGCACCTTTCATGTTGGTGTACTACCCTTGACTGTCAAATGGTCGGCCAAAGATAGGCACCGAGTGGAACTGACCAAATCGCCCAAAATCGCCCCTCAAGATATTTTTTGCGGCCAACCCTATTCAGAATGTGTCTGTGTTGGGCTTGTCGGCCTGGCTCTGGTTCACATTGATGCGTCGGGGCCTGGTCCATTCAGCATGCATTGATCGCTTCTCAAACAAATGGGCCATGACGATTTCGGGTGCGTCAACAGATGATCTGTGCCTTTTAGGCAGGCTCCTTTAAGATATGTTTCAAGAGGCTTGGTGAATGAACAGCAGCCGGCTCAGCAATGGTGAATATATGAAATGGCATAAGTCACACTCGCCAAAGAACCAACGGGAACGGGGATTGCTTACTGAATTCCGATTTCAGTTGGGGACACAATGAACGTTGCTGGTTGGGACTTTCAGCGTCCAACGATCAAAGCACGCGTTCACACGGGCCTGAAATGGGGAAGTGTCGCATTTATCTTTCCATGCCGCGGGTTTGAAGATGGAAAGGGGATTGCGCCATCCACTTGCGGCCTGGGGTATTGAATCTTGGCTTGCGTTGGTTTCCTTTGCACTGTGCTTGCAGCTTGAGGTTTTCAACTGCGCCAAAGATGCCTGCGCTCTGCCCGGCAAAGCCTGTGTAGAGTGCGGCAAGGCTCGGGTTGGGTGTGTCCGGCTTTCAGCTTCCAATGAACATCACCACAAAACTGTGGCTGTATTCAACCATGGCGCCGGGCTACCAGAAACGATATCCACAGCTTTTTAGCAGTTAGTCCAACTCCTGTTGGATAGCAAAACAATGTTCCTCGAGCTGCATGATGTACCTTGCTGATGGTTTGTGTAGACGTTGGGCGGATCGAGACCAAGGGTCGCCAGAGTTGGCCATACACGTTTCCTGTTTTACGCTTTTCAGTACCCTGCATTGTTACGTTCTCGCTGGTGCTCAGTGGGAATCACAAGGCTTTTCAGAATGAAGCTGGGCATTTCGCCAAAGCACACCAGGGATGGCATAGGCGGCATAGGGGTCATTCCCTCATTTCCCGCTGACCCGCAAGATTGGCGGGGCGGGTTTTTCTCAGCTCCTTGTAAAACGAGTCTGTCGCAGGCTCGGGGCCACAAGGTATCAGCACGGGAAACCTGGGCTAGTGGACTGTCTTATTGCAGTTCCTGGGATCGTTTGGCTTTCGGGGCTTAGCATTTGCCGATTTTCTCAAGGAGCAATAGCACTGCACAGTCTCTCGCGTTGCGCTTTGCTTGACAGACTTCAGCATGACTTGGTAGTTCACTTCCACCACGAAGCTGGCTGGTTCTCCCGGTGATCAAGACATATGAAGGTTTGATAGGCAATGCTTTGCAAAAGATCAGGGAAGGTTCAAGGGCCAGCCGGAATTCAAACCTTCGCGAGCTCTGCGACCGTGTTCTAATCTCTTCCCCCTATTAATAAATACGGCCCCCCCCCCCCTATTATAAATAAATCCCCCCAAAAATATTGTGTTTTTTTTATTGGGGTTTTTGGGGTTGGTTTTTTTTGCGTTTCCAACAATGTGAGGGTTCACGTAGGATTTGGATGAAATGGATTGAATTGTAAGGTCCGCGAGTAAGCGGTTCAATAAGGAAATTTGATGTATCATTCTGTTTGTTTACCAGTTTACTGGTTGTTTGTTTGCAGCCAGGCAGGTTAATTAGCCAGCATGTACGGGAGAGAGACAGTCGCAGCTAGAAGACAGCTTTTGGGGACATGTTTTCTTTTGAGGGACACCCCAATAATTAAAGGACCCAACCTTTTGAGAAGCCAGCTTTTGGGAAAGCAACCTTTTGGGGAATTGAGGAACCCACCTGTTGAAAAGTGAGGCTGGAAGCTTGCCAAAAGTGCCCCCTAATAAGGATTCCAAGACGTTAGTATTGGTTTAGTATTGGCGCAATGGAAAATCAATTGTGTGGAGTGGAAATCTGGTCCCGGGCCCCGGATTTGCATTTATTATTAATTGGGGTCATTCATTAATTGGGGGAAGAGATTATGTCAAGCCACATTGAATGAACAATTTGTGTTTCGCCTCACGCAGGTGTGCAGCCAGATCAACTGCAAGCCCTGCCAGGATGCTTGCAGCGCCGCTGGGCCGAAAGCTGAAACGGCTCCCCTTTTTGCCTGCACCGCAGGGGCTGGTTTGAGCCACGGTTGAAAGTATGCTCGAAGGAGGACAGTCTTGAGCTTCATCACGGGGAGACGAATATGGGGGAGGTCAGTCATCCAGATTATGTTTTGTTGGGACTCGGGAGAACTATATATGGAAATCAACACGAGTTGATCGGGGTGCCGCTGGCACACTGTCAAGATTGAAGCTGCCTTCGTGATTTGTTCCATTTGTCGCCTGCCCTGTGTGATCCCTACGTTGGCTCCGACGACTTGAACATAATCCGCGCACGATACTGCGATTTCGCTTTGCTTCAGTTTGTGGAGAACATGTCGTGTCTCAAGGGTGGCAAGTGGGCAACCTGCAAAGGGTCTAGTACATGTTGGCGAGGATCAGTCGCTTTACTGCGCAGATGATGGTTGAATTACGGGCGAGGGTTGTGCACACGAACCTGATTGCTGCCATGTGCGACGCATTTGCCGAAGGAACTTGGCAACGCTTTCCAGACCTTCTGGGACAAGCCGCTCAGCACCTATGCAGCTTGGCCATATCGGCTCCGAGAGGAAGCGGCTTCATGGGCTTCCCACCGGCAAATGTCTCAACTTGTTGTGAAGCTGCTTGTGTTTATTTGTTTGTTTGTTTGCTTGCTTGCTTGTTTGTTGGTTTGTTTGTTTGTTTGTCTGTCTGTTTGTTTGTTTGTCTGTCTGTTTGTTTGTTTGTTTGTTTGTCTGTCTGTTTGTTTGTTTGTTTTCTTTTTGTGTGTGTGTGTGCGCTTGTGGTCATCTTTGTTTCGTCAAGACCAGCCTGGCTCTCAAGTTGTTTCATTTTTGACCCGACATGTCTTGTTCTTCAAAGCCGTTGTTTTGTGGCAAGCTGGTTCTTGTTCGTCCAGATTGGTTTGCCCTCAAAGCTAAGCTGGGTGCGTTGTCCAGGTTGCCTTCTCCCTTTTCTTGGAGTTTCTAAGGTTTGCGGTTAACGAAGAGTGACCAAGATACAGAGGTGCCTGCATTTGTTTGGCCAATGGGCAGCTACGCCAATACTCACTAGCCTTGGAAGCTAAATGAGTCTGGGACTCAGCAAGCAGTGCACCTTTGGAGCCGCATGAAACAGGCTGTTGTGCCGAGCTGGCGGTTGCAAACACGGGTGCCTGAGTTCAGTGGCCGACAAGCTGGTAATTTTTCGCCTGCGGAGGCCGCATGCGAACTATTTGTGATCCGACCCAGCGAGCAACTGCAGTGCCGGGAGGGGTGGTTGCCCATTAGCAGGCACATGTGCATCTTCGGAGATTTGACCCAAGATGCATTCCTTGTGCTACAGTAGCCT